ATATATATCTCCACTGGGAAGGACAAGTAAACATTAAAAGAGGGGGCCTCTGCCAGTGGGCACCACAGAGACTGTGCCCCAGGCTCGAGGCAGCTGGGCACAGCCAGTCATTGTCCTTCCCACCCTCAGCAGCAGGAGTCGCCCGTTAACCTGAGCCATCACCTGTCCTGCCAGCCCAGTGACCCTTCCCCCACCTTGGGAGGCAGGTTCTGATGAATCGTTTTCCAGACAAGGAAGGTGAAGTTACATCACTTACGCAAGGCCTGGGGGCAGATCCTGGTTTTCTGCAGCTTGAATATAACCCAAAGCAGGGACCCCTCTAAGAGCACAGGATTATGACTTTGAGAAGGGCCCAGCAGTGGGGAAGGGCCAGACAGCTCGAGCCTCTGAGGAGTCAGCCAGGTAGGAAGTGGCAGAGGCAGAGGGGGCTGTGGTCTGGTAAAGCAGCCTATGCTGTCCGCTCTGCACCTACCTGCCTCTGCAAACAGTCTGGCCCTAAGCACCACCCACACTCCTAGACAGCATTTGACAGCATTTTCTGCCATTTGGCACAGAGAAGGTTTATGGGCTTATGGTGCCCTAAGGTGATGGTGGTTCAGGCTCTGATACCTGGTGAATGACAGGTCCTGGTTGACCCCTAAGATGAGCTTCATCTCAGACTCAAGCCAGGGGCTTCTCTATGCTGGGGACCCGTACTGTGAGTTTTCAGCTGGATTAGGGTGGATGTGTTTATCTGAGGAGGAAAGCATATGTTAGACAGGATTCAGGATGTGTCCAGTGGCACACACGGCCTGCTGAGGCAGAATCAGGGCAAGAAACCTGGCCTCTGGGCCTGCTGCCAGCCTTGGACTGCTTCACTGTCCTCACACCCAGGACCGTCCTTGTCCTATGGTTCTATCCACGGGAGGCTAAGCCCTCCACTGGAGCCCTGGATAGCGGCCCCGGACTTTGCTCTGATAATTATCTTGCTTCTCCTGCATCATCAGATTCCCCTCTCAACCTGATCTCTCTCATCAGCACATGGACAGGCCATAATATCTTCCATCCCATAAAAGGCTTCCCTTGGTCCCACCCACCACCTGCCCAGCTAGCAAGCAAATCTGTCCTCTGCTCAGCCTTACATCAAGAAGGCCTCAAACACATGGTCTACCCAGCACAAACACGCGGTCTACACGGCATGCCCACTTTCTGTCCCGTCTTCGAGACAACCAAGTCAACTCTTGTCACCTTCACCATTCAGGTTACCACACCCCTTGGTCCATTTTCAGCTTCTTCTGTCACCCACAGACAATCACCCCCCTTCCTTGCAGTATTGTCATCTCTCGGCCCTGGGGAGAGCTTGTCCTGGGATCCCTCCACCCAACCTCCTCACCCAGCTCCTTAGGCGTGCTGAGGTTTTGCAGGAACCATCCTGCCTCTCTTCCCTGTCCTCACCTTCCCCACATTGTTGTTGGCTGTTACTGAGTTGATTCTGAATTATGGCTGGAGACCCCATATGCAGCGTCTCCAGGGCTGAGACCTTTGGGGAGATCGTAGAGCAATCTTTTGTTTAGTAGTTGAGTGCATGACCATCTGCACCATCCAATCACCTCTCATTCTCCTCAAGGCTTTAGAAAGCATCTCTTTTTGCTGACACGTCTCTATTCTGTAGTAGCCATAAGGTCTTAATTTATATTATCCAACTCTGAGCTTCTCCACTTGAGTATTTTACTTGTAAACAGCATATGCAAAACATCCAAAACCCCTCGTCTTCTCCTGCTAGTTCCTGCCTGCAACCTTATTCCCCAAGGAATGGTTCCGCCATCCACCCAGTTACCTTAGTCCCAAACTCGTTATCTAGTTACAATTAACCAATAAGGTAACCTATTTACTTTGGCCCCAAAGTTGCTCTTGAGTCCCCTCTTTCAGTCATTCCCATATGCATCCACCGGTCCCATTCACGCTATGTCCACAAAAAATACTCGAAATTGAATCACTTCCTACCACCTTCACTTGCTGATGTCTCAGCTTCTGTCCCTCTTCCTTCCCCACTCTCCACACAGCCTCCCAGATGTTCTTTTCAAACCATAAAATAAGCTCATGGGACTCCTTAGCAAACTTATTCTAAAATTCACACCCTAAGGTTCTGCCCTTGCCAAACTCTCTCCTTGTTGTCTAGTCAGACCTATGGCAACCCCATGAGTTAGAGAGTTTCTTGGTTGGCAGTTTGCAGAAAGAACTGGCAATCTTCCTCAAGATCATAACCTTGAAGTCCTATGGAGACATTGGAGGACCCTCGATGAAATGGATTGATTCGGTGACTGGGGTAATGGGGATGAATGTGTCAGAGATGGTGAGATTGGCGCAGGATAGAGCAGGGTTTAGGGCTGTTGTACATAGGATCATTGTGAGTCACAGGTGACTCTACAGCACATAACAACAACAACGTGAGGTCTTTGTGAGTCAGAATTAAGTCGGCAGCACTAACAAAACCAAACTTTACAAAAGTCGATCAGCAGGTCTTTCCTGGTGCCCCTGGGCACGTTCAAACTGCCGACCTTTAGATTATTGTTGTTGTTATGCTCTTCCAACCAATTCCTAGCTGACCTTCCAGTGCGTTTTCAGAGACTAACTATTCTAGCGCAGGAGAAAATTGTCTTTCAGACTGCCTTTGTATTAGCAGCACAACTGTTTACCAGTAGGCCACCAGGGCTCCCTACAGGTTATTGTTACTCAGCGTAACTAACGCGCTGCTGAGGTGCCGCACGCTGGAGTGACTTTCCTGTTAGGTTAATGTTGTTGTTGTTGTTGTTGTTATGTGTCATCAAGTAAGAACCAACTCATAGCTGACTCTCCAGTAGGTTTTCAGAGGCTGTTAATCACATGGGAAGAGATTGCTCAACTTTCTCCCAAGGAGCAGCTGGTGGATTTGAACTCAGCGTCTTTGGGTTGGCAGTGCAGCCCTCCACCACTCAGTCACCAGAGTAATCCAGCGCAAACTATTGCTCCATCGGGGACTTTCCATCTCGTCTATGCTTTTACTCTTTCTTCTCCAGCCCCCACAATTCATTTACACTATGTTTCATTTATATACATTTTGTTTTATACAATCTTCCATTTACATTGGGTTTCATACAATCCTTCACATACATTGTGTTTCATATAATTAATTACTATTGATCTATGCCTCTTGTTACCCTGCCTTTTCAAACCACCACTGAATCTTCCCTATTCCTTCACACCCCATCTGCCCACTAAACTCTGCCATCCTATTTCTTTCCACCCTTCACCTTTACCTGCCCCCTTCCCCTTATCTCCCTCCTTTTTTTGATATTTGTACCCATCTTACTAGTTATCTTTTTGTTTTTACAATAATGATCTGATGCAGTATTTATCCTTACAAGACTGAATTAGTTCACTCAGCATGCTTTCTAGACTTTCCCATGTTATATAGTATTTTATGACATCATTGTTCCTTTGTACCACCTAGTATTCCATTGTGTAAATGTACCACAATTTCTCAATCTATTCTTTGACGTACACTTGGGCTGTTTCAATTTTCTTGCTGTTGTGAATAATGCTGCTATGAGCATAGGGGTACATATAACCATTAGTGTTTCAATTCTGATTCCCCAGAGGTATATTCCTAGCAGTAGAATAGCTGGGTCATATGGAATTTCTGTGTTTGGCTTTTTGAAGAAACACCAAACTGCCTTCCAGAGTGGTGGTATACCATTTTACAATCCCACCAGCAGTGCATCAAAGTTTTAATCTCTCCCCATCCTCTCCAACATTTGTTGCTTGTCCTAATAAACTTTGCTTCTGTTATTGGGATGGGATGGTATCTCGTTGTGGTGTTGATCTGCATCTCCTCTCTCTAATGGCCACTGATTTTGAGCATCTTCTCATGTGTCTATTGGCCATACAAATATCTTCCTTTGTGAAAAGTCTTTCCATGCCCATTTTGCCCATTTTGTGATTGGGTTATCAGTCTTTTCCTTGTGGAGGCCCTAAAATAGTCTGTAAACTTTCGATATGAGACCCTCCCTTGTCTGAGATGTCATTGATAAATGTTTTTCCCCTAGTCTATCAGTTTTCTTTTCTCTTTGTTGGGGAAAAGTTTTTAATGCACACAGGTACTTCATTTTTATTTTTTTAATTAATTTTAATGAAGTTTACAGAGACTTAGGGTTTCCATTCATTCACTGTTACACTTTTCTCCCTGTCCACCCCTCCTCCCAATTCGCTCTTCTCTTTAAAAAGTAAAAGAAAAATTCTTTCATTGTTATACAATCCCTCCCTTCCAAGTCCACTCCACTGTGTAGCCTTCATTCTGGACTTCTGTCATGACAATAATATCTAATCATATATCCCTTTTAAGCAGTTCTCTCCCTCATCTGTTTCAATGCAGTATACATTATGACCTTCTAAGAATCAAATTCCTCTGCACATCCAAAAACTTCTTCAACAGGGTAAAAAGGGAAGCCATAGATTGGGAAAAA